CATCACAGTCTGCTACACTGTGGCTGCTGCTAAAGGCCAATAACAAGCTGCAGCTCATATGCATTCTGCAGAGAGGATGACCAGCCCCAACCATTTCTACAGGAGCTGTGCACCTACAGGACCTCAAAGCAAGCAGGTTGTGGTCGACCCCCTCCAAATATTTAATTCTAACACCTCTGACAAAGCAAATAGTCAATTGTAGTTGATTTGCAAGTGGCCATCAGATTCCAAGGGGCCCATGCCACCCTTGCTGCTCCTCTGGATCTGTTCCTGCTTAATGATTTAGCTAAAAAAGAAAAGAGGTGCTCATTGATGTAGTTACAGTTAATCCTGTGAGAACCTTGTAGCAAATACAACAGTGGACTGTTTCACAGACACTGTCATCCTTTGTGCCACTTTGCAACTGTGGCCCAAAAATGATCATTTACCAGAAGCAAGCGAGACGGATTACTGTGGGACACCTGCGGAAATTGCAGACAATACAGCAAAAGTCACTTTGTTATGTTTCAGTTTTTTTCCTCTCACACTATCTAATTTTCTGCAGATCCAATAAAAGAGTCATTGAATCAATTTAAGCTTCATCTTCACTCACTAAAAGCCCCATTGCCCTTCACAGATCCTAAAATTTGACCGTCTTTCTAAGGGGCTGGAAGCTTGACCGACTGCCCAAACACTCACCCAGTCAGCCGTGTAATTTAATTACCACCTTCCCCAGTGCAGATGTAACCAGACATCGCGGCTCTAATGAGACAATTAGCTTGTAGCATCTTATAGCTTTGCTCCTCATTATCGCTGATGGCCATGGTACGAGTTAATGGCTCCATCGCTGCCCCGCCCTAACACTTAGACTGCAGTCTGCCAGCCGCCAGGAGCAGGTTTCTGTGGAGACTAATGGATCATTAGACTGATGAGAGAGGTAAAAAGACCTGAGTGACCTCTTCATCCGCAAAACATGTGGGAAGAGAAGAGAAACGCACATTAGTGCATGTTAGGAGTCAAACAATTGACTTGGTGAATGCTGTCAGAGAAAAGGACAGATTCAGACTGAAGGCTGCGCCTGCTGAGTTTCAGCAAATATCTATAGACAATAAAAGGTAGCTGTGCTTCAATCATAACAATCGATTGTGTGAAAGTATCATACAAAATTTTACATCTATGCACATGCTAATGAACATGTGAACTGGCAGGTGATCTCAGCTACATTTGTAACTGATGTGAGAAATATTCCTCTTTCAGTTTGTGAAGTCGGAACTAAAATCTCAGGGAAAATGTAAAAAGAAATAAGAGATACTTTGGATTCTGAATAATTCTCCAGGGCAGCTTAGTGATACACAATCAATATTATGTTATAGTTCATGGTGTTTCTCTGCAGATGTTCTTGGATTTAATGCTCCTGTGAGGTACTTTCAGAGCTTTGGAACAGACTTAAGTCAATAATGATATGGTCATATGACCTACAAAAGCGAATGAGACAGTGTATGAGATTTCCGTATAGGTATTTTTCATGCTCATCACTGTCGTTGCCAGGTAGGTGTCAGATGGGCAGATTTACGGCATGCTGCAGGAACAGACTGATGAAGCAAAGATTTAAAATGAAGGATAAAGTTTGACATTTTAAAAGAGTAGGATAAGCAGGATAGGATGTTCATTCTTTAACATAAGGAAGTCACAACTAATGAGATTAGATATAAATTTTGTCAAAAGGGAGCAGCAAAATCACTCAAACCATAAGCTCATCCCAGGAGTTTTAACCAGAATCACACATCACAATTTGAAACACGCCCTAAATGAAGTCCTGTTGTCACCTGAACCTCATATTTGGGTATTATGAGAGTCTTAATGAGGTTTCAGCTTTATATCATTTTGGAAGTGCAAGAGACATGGTTTGTAAGCACCACACACACACTGCACTGTTCTGCCCTGCTGGCTCAGCCGTTACTTATCACCACTCAGTGTGTCTACACACTTTAAAAGTTGAATAAACAAAATTTAGCAGACACAGAAAGGATGTGAAAAGGGACAAAATGGTGTTTTCCATATGCATCCTGTTAGCCTCTTGCTAGTGCATTTTAAAGGCTTTTTTGGTCTGTAAAAGGTCAACCAGGAAACAACCTATGGAGTGGAGACAACCTAATACTGATAAGCAGAAAGGGGGTGTTTTGACCCTCACCATAGCAGGACAGGGACTCTAGTCCAGGTAAACCAACTAATTGAGCGATGACTTCAGCTTGACTTAACTGTGCACGTAAACGTACTGAATGTTTTCCCCCTGCTCTGCTTCTGTTACTCCTTCTGAGTGAGGGTCAAAAATGAAACACCCCACCTTTGCCCCACCTCACCTTGTAACCCAGCTGTTAAAAGATTATATTTATTCTAAAATGACCTTAAAAAGCATATGCCTCAGTCAGGTCATGAGCACTCTATTTAATGTACAATATGATGGTTTGTCAGAGAGCGAGAGAAACACTACAGGCTTCCTCCCCAGTTTAATCAGAAACAGCTATGCAGCATTTCTCTGCCCTCTCTATTAAAAGCACCTGAGCTCAGCACTGAAACTCTTTCCTGCCTATTTTGGCTGAACCCAGGCTTTTGTCCAAAATATCAGACAAACAGAGAGAGAGACAGAGGGTCACATTAGTCTCTGTGAAGCTCTAAAAATGTTCCACGGTGGATTAAAATCTGATCCATAGCAACTTATTCCTCATCCGCCTTTTTTATCAAATCCTGTTGAAAAGTTCAGGTTTTTTTCTAGTGAAGAGAATCAACAAATAAACCTGTTTCCTTCACCAAGAGACAAGAAAGTAAAACACAATGTTAATTTTATCCTGTGTTACATAAAGATCATGCTTTCCATTCCTGGCTCTTGGTGGACCCAGAAAAGACTTACTGGCCTTTTGTCAATGTGTGACCTACATTCTCACAATAGTGAAATGCTAAGAGAGCGGCGAGTCTATTGATAGCTGCGAGTTGGACTCCCTGCAGGGAAATGGTTGAGAGAATGATGAAGACAGATTAAATAAGCAGATATTTGCTGAAGCTTTGAATGGGATTTTACTGAAGCTCTTCTGCCTGCATGACCCCTGCACTGAACTGTGTCATGTAATGCTGGAAATATTCATAATCTGCATAATTCAGTCATTTAAAAGTCAAAGATGGAAAATCTGTGCATAAGAAAAAATGAGCAAAAATATTTACAAAATATGTTTCTTTTAATTTATCAGCTGTTTTTCCACGATTTTTAAAATAACCATTTAGTTTTAAATCCACTTATCAGCACATACTCTCAGAAGGGTCACTATAAGAGTGTTGTGCTCTGCATCACCCCTTGGCAACAGAGATAACTATATATATTTTTTCTTTTTTTTTACAGCCTGCAAACCTTTATATATTTGTAAAGAAGACCTGGTGTTGAGACTAGCCTGCAAAGCTTCTGTGGCACACCACAACAGACACACAGCAGGCCTTAAAACTATTCCTCTGACACTCAGCAACCAGATCTGCTTACGAGGCACTTTTCCTTCTCATGGAGAAACTCTGGCCATGAAGAATGTAACAACATACACATATGCTTTCTCAGCATGATTTCTCTTACTATGAACTGAATGCATCCCAAGTGAAATAAGCCTTTTTTTCTCTTTTATCAGCAGTTTAAAACAATCTCCTGAATTATTATAGCCATTCTTAAACCTTGTTTTTTAATTTTTCTTTTATATCAATAAATAATGTGACAATACTTGACAGAAAACTCAGTCTATATTTTCACCGCCCTCATATTAATCACTCTACAGGCTGAGGATGCAGACAGGATTATAGTATCAGAGTTTTGAAGGTAAGCCACTTACTGCTGAGGAGATTATTAGACTGGTGCACATTAATTTTCACTTCATCACGTCATCCATTCAGAAGTCAGAGTCTGGTGATGATGGCATCAGTTTAAGAACCTAGGCAGGAGTAACTGTTCTCTGCTGATATTTATTTGTAATATTTTATGTCAACGTTGATTTAACTGTTGCAGCAAACTGCCAGGAGGGGTTATGTTTTATAATGTCTGGCCTTGTAACCAGATTGTAAAAGTTTAGGCGTGGTGTTCAACAAAAAGCAGAGGCTCAGAGCAATTTCTCAAAACATCTATTAACCATTGCAGATGCAAAATTAATTCAAAAACACCATGAGATTACCTTCTAACAATTTCACAAACTGTAGGACCTGTTGGAAAGTAGGGATGTTAAAGTGACAGTATGCTGTCTGAAGTGGATTACATGGCATTTAAATAGCCAACAACTATTTATGAAATTGAGTGTACAGTTTGTGATTAAAGGGATATTCTGGCCTAAAATAATTTAGGGTCAAACACACCATAACGTCAAGTTAGACACCCCCTCAAGAGTTGAATGTTGCCGACCGCTCGCCTCTCTAGTTTCACCAACTTAAGTAACCACCGCACGATAGCAATACACAGCAGTCTGAGAAGCCATAAACAAACAAAGATGTTTGGTGGCTAGTGCTGTGGCTAGGACCCTATATGTACTGTTGATGAAGTTAGGTGCTGTTCTGAGCATTATTTGTGGCAATAGAGTGGTGTTTTGGTTGAGGTTTGTTTATGGCTCCTCAGACCGCTGTGTATTGCTATCTTGTGGTCGTTACTAAAATTGGTAAAACTAGAGAAGCAAGCGGTCGACAACATTCATCTCTCGAAGGGGAGTGTCTAACTCGGTGTTACGATGTGTTTGACCCTAAATTAATTTTACACCGGAATATCCCTTGAAGTCCTAATGACGTCCATGATAAAGGCATTAAAATATTCAACATTAACCTCCATTATCGTGATGTTTTGTCACATATCTTAAATGCTAAACTTTGAATGATAAACGTGCTGTCTTTCATATAACTAAAACAAAGCTGAATGTAGTTGTGGAGTCATTATTTTGTCCATTTTTCCGTCAGTTTGCTCCCTGACATTTTCGGGGCTGTACCTCAGCCGACCAGCGCTGTAAGCTACTGACGTCACCGGAGCGCTCGCGCTAGCCAGTTGTTTTGGGAGAAGAAGAAAAAGGAGCTACAAGCGGAAGAAACACCGGATTTGGTTTCGGGTTAGAATTCAGTTTATGGTCCTGGATTAGTTTTTTTAAAAATACATTTTGAATAATGTCGACCCCGGCGAGGAGACGGCTTATGAGAGATTTTAAAAGGTAACCGTAACCATAACGTCTGTTCTGTTTGTGTGAAGCAGCGTTAGCGGATGACGCTGACGGCTGCTAGCTGAGCGTTAGCTTTAGCGTTAGCCGTTGGTGCAGAGAAAGCTGATAATTCAGCTAAAATCGAGTTGTTTTGAAATCTAAACGGTCCTTTAAGTGGGTTTCACTCCAAATGTAATGACGATTGAATTGACAGAGGTGGGACAGTGGGTTTTCACATGTATTGTAGTGTATTCGAAGACTGCAATTTGATTTCTCTGCAGTCTTTACTGTCCAGGGAATAAGATCCGATCATTTCAGGGGAGTTTGTTTGTGATTGTAGGTGCAATTTAAGACCGCTGAGGTTGCTTATAGTTTGCTCGAATAGAAGGTAGTAAAAATTTAAGATTCCATAGCCTCGAGTGGTCTTGATAATAAGTTAATTGTGACAGGATTTGTCCTAATTACTGCGCAATCTGCAAGCTGAGGATTTGAAATGTGCTGCTCTAAAGGTGGCTAAATTCAATTAGCCTGCCAGCAATATGGTTTCAGTCTCCCCTGAGAGCAATGTGGCTCACAGGTGTTGCACAACCTGGTGTGTGTGAAACTGGGGGTTCTCCATCTCCATCATTACAAGCATAGATGTGACTATGGAAGCTCCAAGCAGACATTTATCCATACATTTTATTCACCCCCGGTTTCCTCTCAGTGATAGATGATCATAATTGGTATCCCTGAGGTAGGTTTCACCCTCCTCATCAGTGTGGGTGACAGCAGATGACTAGAAAATGTTCCCATTCATGGGGAAAAGCAGCTTTTGTATTAGGTGATCACCAGAGATAAGTTAAAATCTTAAGGAACATCAGATAATATTTTATGGGAAAATCAGCATGTCAGGATAACAAGGTAGACAGTAGAGTAAAGATAAGGTATGGAGTAGGGCTGGGCGATAAAACAGAACAAGATATATCAAACTAATTTCCCTGAATATCGATATTAAACATGGTCATTATGCTTTTCGATAGTCAGCATTCTGCAATGTTTTGGTAGACTAAGGCTGTGTCCAAAATCAATTGCTCAATCCCTAACCCCTAACCCCCATATGGGGTTTTACTAGATAGTTCACTATGTAGTGAACTCAATCACCAGAGGTTTCAGACACTACATGGCAAGACGCAATGCATGACGGGATGCCCACCACAGGTGAGTGACCATCAAATGGTCACAACATTTTGCAGTGCTTTATGGGAAATTTTGAGTCGCCTATATGGAGCACTGGAATTGATCACTCAGGTTTCAGACACCCCTCAAAATGGCGCTAACCCCCATATAGTCGCCTATATAGGGGTTAGGGATCCATTTCGGACACAGCCCATATGAATAGCTGATGAAAAGATGACAATATCGTTGACAACACTGGCACGAAAACGTCAGTGGTGTGGAGGTATTTTGGTTTTTTGAGGTTGGACATGAAGCAGAGTAAATTATGTCGACTCGAGTACATGTTCTTGCAAAGTCGGGGAATATTTCAAATCTTTTCCACCACCTGAAGCAGTGCTTCGCCACAGAGCACGCTCAATGCAAAAGGTTACAAACCCTGAGCGGAGCAAGGAGCCCATGGCGCCTGTGCACCCGAAACAGCCGACCATTCAGGCCGCTTTCTCTAGTGCAGTGCCCTATGACAAAATGCTGAAGAGACACAAAGACCTCACAGATGCAGTAGCTTATTGGATGACAAAAGACATGCTACCAATAAGCACTGTTAAAAATCATTTTTTATATCATCATAAATCGATATTGACCGATATAAAAAATATATATCATGATAAACATTTTCCTATATTTCCCAGCCCTAGTATGGATCTATATCTGCTGAGGGCTATGTGAAATTTCTGAGATTTGTGTATTTAAACAACACTGCAGTCCTCTTCCTTCCAATAATTATTATTATCAACAAAGAAAAGAAGAATATGCCAAGCTACCCAGGGAGTAGTACACCTGGCAAAAGACTGCTTGTACTACCTGCTATCCCCAATCTGTTTCCCTGCCCCATATGGCATCCTATGGTACTTGCGTGTTTGTGTGTCACTCACACACCTGTCAGTGGAAAAAAAAAGATCCTAAGCTATCCTTACTGAGCGCAGCCACTGAAGCAGGGAGGATAAGGTGTCACAGTAACTCTACTCTGCTGCACCAGTCCCCAGGTGGTAAACTGTAACACACTGAGTCAGGGGGGGAACACAATGGCACATTCCTGGATCAGCCCGTGTGTGTGTCCGCACTAAAGCTGGCTGACATCTCTTTGTTTGATCTGCAAGTTAAACTATTTGCATGATAGGTCTTGAAACTGAGCGCTGTAGTTGTTTGAACAGCAACAAATATGTGTGACATTATGCATGAGTACCTGGGATGTCAAATGACACCATGAGTTGAAGGGCTCTTGAAATAAGCCGTTTTTTTATGCCTTGTTGAACAGCTGGAAAAGCACCAGAATTTCTCTTGTTTCTGTTCAGTACAGCTTCACTTTCATTTCTTAGCAGATGATTTTTGGAGTACCCATATTGTCATTATCTTCAGTTTCTTTTTTAATCTCAGCTGTTCCTCAAATATCTGACAGAGTTCAGTTTTAAAAATGACGTTAAATAGTTTGTAAACTTCATCAGTTGTGCTTCAGTAATTCATCATACTAAAGTAAAAGATAGTAACTATCCCTGATAGCGCAGTTGTTGTGAAGTTGATTGGAGCATCTTTCCACCAGCAGTGAAGCTCAGGCAGATTACAGTAAATGAGGTTAATTGCAGTGGGTCTGTCTGCAGCGAGGGACACTGATCTACACTCACACACAGACGCACAAATCAGCCTACCTTGTTTTATAGCTGTAAGCTCTTATTAAGCCAGCTTTTACACTTTACGCATGGGATTGTGGGGCCTAAGTCGCCTGCAGTGCTCCTGGACTTGGCCGACATGCAGAGGTGGTCTGAAGCCGGACCTTTAATGTGACCCAGTAACATGGAGCGAGTCAGAATAAGGTCTCTGTTGTCCATTAGAAATTTGTTTTTGTAGTCTGCACTTACACAGAGTTGGAAAGTTGTTGGAAAGTTGGTTTAAAACATTGACCTGTGACATTTGTGTGTTTTCTGTTTGTTGATGTCTTTGTTGCTAGGCAGTTGTTGCTAAGGCATTTTACACAGTGCAAGATCACTTGATAAGTCAGACCGCAGAGGGGAAGTATGATACTGGAGCTCATTATTGTTGTCATTATTATTCACAAAATGTTTTAGGTTTTAGGCTGTGAAATATACAATATAACGCAATAAAGACCTTACAGTGGCTGTTTTTGAAAAGACTTGAAATCTTAAAGGTAAATGAATACATAATAAATAACCAAATATGACATTGATTTGTGGCTGCAGCAGTTTTTGAAGTCATTTAGAGTGAAAAGATGATTAGCCGCGTTTTAGATTAGATTAGATTAGATTCAACATTATTGTCATTGAACACAGTACAAGTAGAGAACAATAAAATGCAGTTTAGCATCTAACCAGAAGTGCAAGGTAGTAAAGTGCAAGGTATGTACATACGGGCTGTGCAGGTATGTACTGAATATACTATATAGTGCAATAAATATGCTAAAAATATATACATGTCGTTGGTTACTACAGGTATTAGTAGGCTATACAACAACAAAAAAATCTAATTATGTATATTATCTATATATACAGTATACTTATTAATGCAGGTGAGAAAAAGAGAAAATGCTATTAAACAGTGGGTGTGTTAGGAATATAAACAGTAAGATATTTAGGAGTAAGAGTAGGAATATGTACAGTTATTAAATAAATAGTTGGATAAAATATGTATATACAGCAGAGCGTGATTGTGTTTCCATAATTTGCAAAATTTATTAATTATGCAAAATAACAATCATAAATAGTGACAGATTTTTGTTAAATGGTATGCTTATCTTAAGATGATTTATATTCTTTGGCTAGGAGGCAACATTTAGTATGGGAAAATATCAGGTATTTAATTGAAAAAAGAATAAGCAATAAGCAGAAAATAAACAATAAAAATAAGGATGTTTAAGAAAACCTGTAAATTTACAGAATGGAAGAGGTAGAAATGTTTATTAAAAAATCAGTGAGTACTTTTGGAGTGAATTTTTGGAGTTTTATTCTTTTTAGTCTTTCAGCGTCTTTGAAAAGCTGCATCAACAGAAAAATGTAAAGGATGATATTTCTGCAGATTAATCAATTTTATTGTTGATCCTCACTTTTTAGCATCAGATTCGCACAATCAGTCTGTTAAAATTTCATCATCATGTTTTTACATCAGTGTTATTGGAGCTTGAGTGTCTGTCTGTGGGTGATAATCATGTCTCTGTCCTGCTCCTGCTTCCCCTTTTTATTCCTAACACACTGTTGTTGCTGCTGCTCCTGCTGCTGCTGCAACAACACATCACCTCCTTCTATGCACCAGATCCTTTCTTTGAGGGAAATAAAGACAGAGAGAGCCTGGAGCTCTCCCAAATAAAGACATTAATCAAAATATGCTGACTCTGACACACACAGTTGGAAGGATGAATGTTGACTATTGGCACTTTCAGTCTTTGATGCTCACCAGGGATATAGTCATGTAATGTTACAGTTCTATAGAGTGTTCATGGTATGGCTTATGTTAACTGACATGTGACAGTCGGATGGACAGTGTGCAGTTGATCCTGCAAGCCTCACTGTCGATTGAAGTCATGTTGATACAGCAGTTCGTGTTTTGACTGATAATTATCCTGCAGTCAAGGTGTTAATTAAAATCCTCATGCTCTCCTCCAATCCTTGTTTTCTCTCCCTTCTGCTGCTGTTTCTTTGACTCTCTTATTTGTCCTCTGTTTCTTCTGTATTTTATTTATCTTTCGTCTCTGATTCCTTTCAATTTTGCTTTGTTTTTAATATCTCCTTTTATATCCTTTCTCTTCTCTTCTTCATACCTATGTCTCTTTCGTTTCTTTGTTTTCTTCTCCCTTCCTTATTGTTTCTTCTCTCTTTTTCTCTATCATACCCAGACTTCAAGAAGATCCTCCCACCGGTGTGAGTGGAGCACCATCAGAGAACAACATCATGCTTTGGAACGCAGTTATTTTTGGGTGAGTCATGCTCCGAAATCCAGCTCCGCCCTGCTGTCTTCTTTCTTAGCCACTGTGATTGTGATGCACAGATTCCCCAAACCAGCACACCCCTTTGCAACATTTAAATATTTCAGATTACGGTCCTGATTGTTGCTGAGACCGGTCAGGAAAATCAGCATGTAGAGACCCAGCAGGTGTTCGATGGAGGAACAGGCTGAGAGACAAGAGGGAAAGTTTGTTATAAAAGACTGCACCAAAATAAAAGCAGATGAAAGATGGTGCACAATTTGAACGATGATCAAAATGATTTGAGTCATGAAAATGTGTGAAGGAATAAACTTTTTAGAGTAGTTCTTGCTTATGATAAAAGCCCAGTAATAGGATGAGATTAGTGTGAATGCAGGAGTGTCTTTCATTCCAGTAGAATCAATGAAGTGTCTGTTACTGTGATTAAAAAAAGGGAAATTTATTGAGATAATATATAGCATATATAGGATACTTGAAAGGGTAAGAAACTGGAAGGGAGATTGAGGAGAGACTTCCGTAGGACAGGGCTCATTGGGAACTTCAGCCTCTATACATGGGGTGTGCAATTTAACAAACAGACCCAACTGGTGCCAGGCAACTCTAATTAAATGTTTGATTATGAAGCTATCACAGTTATTAAAAACATGAACAGATCAGTCACAGTTATGATCACAGTGGGGGTGGGGTTTCCCAACTGCAACGTAGATAATAAAAACCAAAGTCAATAATGTACTAGGGCTGGGCGATAAAACGATAACAATATCGAAAATTAATTTCCCTCGATATCAATATAAAACATGGTTAGTTTTCGATAGTCGGCATTCTGCCATGCTTTGGTAGACTATACGAATAGCTAATGAAAAGGGGAGTTACTCCGGGTCCGCTTTGTGCTGAACCAATCACGTGCTGAATTAGAACCAAGTAGCAAACAACAGCGTAGTAGCAGACTTTAACACGTGACTCCGACAGCACTGTTGGTGAGAAAAGAGAAAATGAGTGCCACCCCTGACAGAAATGCAGATGAAGGCTCAACAGATGACAACATTGTCAACAATACTGGCACGAAAACATCGGTGGTGTGGAGGTATTTTGTTTTTTTGAGGTCGACATGAAGCAGAGTAATGTGTACTGTAAATTAAGTCGAGTACATGTTCTCGCAAAGTCGGGGATTACCTCAAATCTTTTTCACCACCTGAAGCAGTGCCTCGCCGCAGAGCTCACGCAATGCAAAAGGTTACAAACCCTGAGCGGAGCAAGGAGCCCATGGCGCCTGTGCAGCCGAAACAGGCAACCATTCAGGCCGCTTTCTGTAGCGCAACGCCTTACGACAAAACGTTGAAGAGACACAAGGACCTCACAGAAGCAATAGCTTATTGTATCGCAAAAGACATGCTACCAATGAGATTGACAAGCAATTTCTTTCTATCGTGATATATATCGCTATCAGCTGATATGAATAAAATATATCATGATAAACTTTTTCCCAAATCGTCAATCCCTATAATGTCCCGAAGAAAACATTTCCATGATGAAAGCTCTTTGCCTGTTTCTTGACCGATCACACATGTGGTAACAACTGCTATCCAGCCTACCAGTGATTGCCATTGTTGAGCCACACAAACCAATACCACTGAGACTTAATATGGTCTATAGTTCAGACACTAACAGCAAGATGCTTCTAACAGATCCAAAAGCCCCATGGTTAGATCAATATATTTTGATCAATCAATTAGGGTTAGATCAATCACAGAGCTTCTTTTATTTGTTCTGCCTGTGTTGAGTTTTAAGACCGGGATACACTTTGTTTGCTTACTTCCCATGTAAACTTTTAAAGCAGCTTATTAAACTCCAAACAAGTGGAAGTTATCAGTCGGTCTTAATGGAGAGTTCATAGATTTTAGCATCAAGAAACATCAAGAACACAATAAAACGGAGAGCAGCGGCACCAGGCAGGAGCTGAAAAGTTAACAAGATGCTACAAATGCATGGAGGCTCGCTTGTGTTTAAAAATAGAAACAGACCTGCTAATATCTCCTCACCTAATTCAAAGTCAAAGGGGTGAGTGCCAGAAATGCACAGCACGTGGCAACTGGTTTAATCGTCTCCTTTACACTGACTGTGTGAATGTGAGGAGCTGAGTAAATAAAAGTCTGGTGTCTGTCGCTGCAGGGGCAGTCTTTGAAGGATGGGTGATAATAGTTTTTGTTTTTTTTTTGTTTTTTTTTTTGCAAGTCAGAGCCTCATTGGTTGCAGAGGGGATATTTTGAGTCCAAAAATAATTCTACTCCTCTCTCTGTCTCCCTCTCTCTCTCTCCCTCTGGTTTCTGCAGGCCTGTGGGAACACCGTTTGAAGATGGTAAGTTCTCAATTTTGAATCGTCTTTGATTTAACTTTCTTCTGCCCTGTTTTTTCTTTTTTTTCTTCTGGTACATTTACATCATTCAGTGAATCTGTTTCGGTCCTCAGCGGTGTGTGTTTCTGAAGTTTGGCTTCAATGAGTTTTCCTGAGCACTCAATTACCAAATCACTCTGTGGATGACATTCCCACACCTGTATGTAGGTATATACAGAGGAGCCCTGAATAAAGGGAGAGACCAGTATATAAAGTAAATACAACACAAATCTACTGGTAAAATCAATTTAGGGTCAAACAAACTAAACACTGAGTTAGATGCCCCCTGTTGAGAGATGAATGTTGCCGACTGCTTCCTTCTCTAGTTATACCAACTTTAGTAACGACCGCGCGATAGCAATACACAGTGGTCTATGGAACCACACACAAACCTCATCCAAAACGCCACTCTAAAACCACAAATAATGCTCAGAACAGCACCTAACTTCATCAACAGTACATATAGGGTCCCAGCCATAGTACTAGCCACCAAACATCATTTTAGTTTTGCCTGGTAGCAAAGAGAATAAACATAAGTAAGTAAGTAAGAAAACTTCATTCGTATAGCACTTTTCACGGACAAAAGAGTCACAAAGTGCTTCACATAGACAAAAATAAAAATGTACATGTAAATTAAAAGGCCAAGACAACAACATTAAACAGCCATAGCTGCCCCAAAAACGATTAAACAAATGCCTGAGCAAATAAATTAGTTTTGAGTTGGTGTTTAAAGAAGTCAACAGAGTCATTTGAATGCAGAGACAGAGAAGATCATTTTAAAGCCTGGGGGCAACAGCCTGGAAGGATCAGTCTCCTCTGGTCCAAAAACGAGTGTGCGGAACCATCAGCAGATTCTGATCCACGGACCTCAGAGCCCGAGGGGGGGGTGTAAGGCTGGATCAGATGACAAATACAAGATGGAGCCTGACCATGCAAGGCTTTAAAAGTTAGGACCACTCACCTCATCTACTCTCTTCCAGCAGCCACTTGTTTGTAGCGAGACCTCAGGCTAGTCCATCACAGACTACAGTGGGGTGTCGCAGCTCAAGGAATAACATTTCTGATCATTTCTTTGTGGAAATGCAATCAGACCAAGACGCTAACGCAGAAGGACTACCGCGTCTGCAGTGCAAAATGATTAATATGATGATCATAAATGTTCTTCCATGAGCTGCAGCACCCTGCAGCAGTCCGTAATGGACTGGCAACAAACAAGTGGCTGCTGGAAGAGAGTAGGTGAGTGTGTCTAACTCGATGTTACGGTGTGTCTGACCCTACATTAATTTTTACACCGGAATGTCCCTTTAAGAAGACAACAGAAAGTGCATCACTGTCCAATAATGTAGAACAACACTGTTTACTAGTTGAGGAGGGATTAAATGGACCAGCAGCTGTGTGGATTCTTTGTTTTTGTTTCGCACAGATTGCTGAGTTATCAAATTTCCCTTTAATGATTTCTTAAGTAGCTGAACAGTCAATAGTTGTGACTGATCGGTAAGAGACTCGCTGCTCTGCTGTATCTTTGTGTGTCTGCAGTATGAATGAGTTGCACAAATTAACACTTCTTACCCCTCGTATTTAATATTTTTTTTGTCTTCGTATTTCTGACTTAAGTCTGGCAGAGAAAGTGCTGACTCAGGGTTTATTGTTTTGTCTCATTAGTTAACTCCCTCCCTTGCTCTGCCGTTAGCCTGCAGAGTCGACATCTTTGCCTCTATGAAGGATTATCTTCTCTTTCAGAAGTCGAGCCAGCTGTATTTTTAGGAGCGTAATTGTTTCCTCGGTTTCTCTGACCTCCACGATCCCTTACATCTGTATTCTTCTCACAAAACTGCTTGTGTGCACTGCTCACTCGCACTCTCTCTCTTTATGTTTTTCCCTCTGTCTCTCACCTCCTTCTCCTCATCCTTCTTCTCCCCCCCTCCTCTCGACTCCGCCTCTGTCTCTCTGCAGGAACATTTAAGCTTCTGATAGAGTTTTCAGAAGAGTACCCAAACAAGCCTCCCACAGTTCGATTTGTCTCCAGAATGTTTCACCCAAATGGTAAGTGGTGCATCTGCCCAGACACTCATCACTCATTCCTAGATAGAAATGCACATGTGCTGCTACTTTTATGGGTGTATCAGGATCAAAATGTTGGGATTCTAGATGAACAGTTTGTGCATCTATTATTCAAGGACTTTCATTTCTCCTCTCCTCCTCATTCAAGCAGTTTCCTCCCATTCACCTCGTTTCTAAGCTCATCAGAGGAATAAATTGTTCGGTTAGATCAGTGAGCCTGGCAGCACACCCCAGAAAAAAAGTTCTAATTTTGTAAATGTGTTTGCACAGCCAACACTGTGGGTTTAAATTAAATAGTGTCCATCTGGCTTTGATTACTTAGATTTCTGGGCTTCTCCTTCTTTATGCTGCAAGTTTAAACCAACAAAATCCGGAGTTTTGATGCAAATCTCTGTGGTCTCAATCTTGAGCTTTCTCTCTCTCTTTTTTCTTCCCAGTTTACGCAGATGGCAGTATATGTTTAGACATCCTTCAGAACCGCTGGAGCCCCACATATGATGTGTCGTCCATACTCACTTCTATCCAGGTAAAGCATTCGTTGTTATCTGTTACAAAATTGGTTTTATTTCTGTTTTTCTGTATTTCATTATATCCCCTCTGTAAATGCATTAGCCAGATTGAAGTATACTTTTTTGTTTTATGAAACTCATATGAAGGCATCCTGAAAATAATTCATAAATATAAATTGTGCAGATGTCACTCAGAAATGGCTAGAAATGGTTTAGAGAAAGGAGATTCTGCATTTTTTGACCTGAAAATTGGCCCATGACACTTTAAATATCCGCCAGAATGTTGTTTAGTTTTTAGTTCCAACTCATTTTAAAATGATAATAATGAGCCGTCTTGGCTGTTTGTGCTCTTTGCTGTGCGGTAACCGTTCATCAGAGTAACATAAGCATCTGTCAGCTGACTGATAAATGTGCACACATTTTTATGGGCCCTGTGTTTTGTATGTTTCATTTACAAGCCCAGCTGTCAACGATGTCATTGCCAGGGTCTCCACTTCAGCAGTCCTTGTATCACTGTTGATCGGTAGCTAGTGCTAGGGCTAGGACCCTATATGTACTGTTGATGAAGTTCGGTGCTGTTCTGAGCATTGTTTGTGGCTATAGAGTGGCTTTTTGGTTGAGGGTTGTTTATGGCTTCTCAGACCGCTGTGTATTACTATCCTGCGGTCGTTACTAAAGTTGGTATAACTAGAGAAGCAAGTGGTCGGCAACATTCATCTCACAAGGTAGTGTCTACGGTGTGTTTGACCCTAAATCAATTTTACACCGGAATATCCCTTTAATAAGTGTTTTTGACTTTCTTAGACATAATCAGTAATTCCTGACAATGCCTAAAGGTTTTTATCTGCCCCACCGTCTTTATGATGATAACGTATGATTCAACAAAAACTCATGTGCTGCAGGTGGAGACACCGTGAAGACTCCATTTGTCTTCCCATCATGTTAAAAAGCACGGGGACGAGCAGAAATACACTGTCTTCGTCATGTGCTCTGGTGTCTGTGACGGCAGCAGCATTTCATACATGTTTATGTCATATGACAGGCAGATACAGACTCTACATGTACAGCTGTTATGTGTGTTCAATGTGGGGTGGCTGCATTTAAGCGATACCAGACAGACATGTGTCATCAATCAATCATAGAAAACAACAGTGGTGACAACATGACGTGATTCAGGTCAAATGACGAACACTACACATCCTGACTATCACACACATGTGGTTTCTCTTTAACAATCACATGTGCTAAAAAATCCCTTTAGGTTCCTTGATGTTAGTCAGACTGATACCATGCGGATCCTCTCATCACTTTTGTCACCTCTCCCACAGTCATTGCTGGACGAGCCAAATCCCAACAGCCCGGCCAACAGCCAGGCCGCACAGCTCTATCAGGAAAACAAGCGGGAGTATGAGAAGAGGGTGACGGCCATCGTGGAGCAGAGCTGGGTGGACGTCTGAGCGCTTCCCACTCTCTACTCCTTCACTTCCTTCACTCTCTCTTTCTCTCTCTCTCTCCTTCTCTCTTCATCATCCCAGTACTCCAGTCTCTCATTTTTACCTCATGAAGAAGTAAAACAGCAATTATATCAAAAGAACTCAAGTGCCACCCTGAAATAAAAAAACCCAGAGAACAACAAAACAAGACAGAATGGACATTATCTTGCTTGCCAATACATTTGAGGAAAACGAGGGAGAATCAACCTTATATTTGTGTTTCTCGTCCTTAATTTTACTTTTTTTATTGCATGATGTGAAATAAGTTATTGCTAACTGAATTTGTAATATATCTTTGTTGTTTGGATGGATTGATGCTGTTAGTGTTTGAGTTTCTTTTTTCTTTGGATTTATTTTTTCCCTTTTTTTTTGTTTTCTTTTTTTTTAATAATATCTGCTGGTATGAAGACAACTCTCTGTTTTGAGACGACAGATTGATGACCAAATCAGCATATTTTAAAAGTGATGGAAAAATAACAAACCCAGAAAAAGTTCTCCCAAGAGCTGGTATTGTTGTTATTTTAAGGTCTGCCACAGATGCAGCTGATAAAGAACAATCCCTGGTCTGTTCCAGCAGATCTGTTTTATTTTAAGAGACACTGTAGGTTTTGGCTCACAGACGTCACAGGCTGCTACAGCGCCAAGTCTCCCTTGCACAGATGAATCATGAGTCCCTGGCAAGGCAGCTTTGAGTTTTTATTTTAATCATATCTGCTCCAAGGTAGGAGACATTATACAGGGAGTGTTATAAGAAAGTAAATATTAACACCAGGATGGGAAGATGAATGTGGACTTTGGAGAAAGCGGAAGAAATGAAGCTGAATCGAGGAAATATCATGTTCATCAGTTTCCTCAGTCAGGACTCACTGTTTTATTTTGTGGTGTCAGAGTGTCTTAATGTGAAGAGTATCTAGAATGAGTTCAGAGTGTTTGTACTTATGTTTTACTCTAAATAGTTTCATTAGGTTCAGTTGTGGTTTGAAGCATCAGGAAGGAAGCGTGAAGAAACCTGCGAGTTCGTGAGAGGGAGAAGTTGAAAAATGAGACGGGTGGATGAGTCTACAAAAGAACAGATTTGTATATCTTCTATTTTTCTGTACCGTCTTGATCAAATCTCAGCTCTTTTTCCTTGCAGCTTTATGTCCACACCCACGCTTTTTTGCCTCTGACAGTCGTCCACTTTTTGTTGCCTGTGACGTGTGTGAGCATAAATGAAATGTCAGTGCATTTGAACCTCCTCTTAAAAAGACACAGCTGACACATAACTGAACAAATGAGCAGAGTGTAAAATTAGTGCAGACCGCTCCAAGAACATTGAGTATGAATCCTGATTTAACAGTGTGACATCAACTGTTTTCCCAAAGGGTTAAGTTGTTTTCATGTCTGCGCTCGTCTTTTTATTTTCTTTCTATGTGATGCCCACTTTGAAGACCACTCGAGTATAAACTCATGACTTAACTCCAGCTGAATAATCCACACAAAAAGGTCATTATGAAATAAGAGTTCTCTTTTCTGAAGCAGTAAAGGTCATATTGTGGCTTGTGACTTTCACCTAAAAAAAAAAAAAAAAAAAGCTGAAGGGATACGTTATAAAATTTTGTGAATTAAACAAGAAAATGTATACTTATAACAATAGGCTGTATAAACATAATAAAACACATTTTTCAGACTTTGAGACGTGTTCTTATGCTGTTTGTTCAAAGTCGACTAGTTTGTATACATATATGTTACATTATCTGTAAGATTGAGTCAAATTATCAGCTTATGTAAAAAATATTCCATCCACTTTTTGTGTTAAAGCTTCTGAGAGGAATTTTTGGTTTATGTCCATTTTGGCGCCCCCCTGTGGACAGAGTAGCCTTTGTTTTTTTTTTCTGGTACATGTAAAAGTTTTGTTTCCCAAACACCTACAAATCAGAAATCTCTACATCCTACCTCTAATAAGTGTTGTCGTTCGCAAACGATTCATTCAAAAGAGCCGAATCTTTTGAGTGAATGTACTGAACCGAGTCACTTCCTTGAGTAAGTGATTCATTCATTTCTCACTTCAGTTGAGTTAAAGTGAGAAACAGCATTGCCAGGCCAACAGCCGACGAATGAGGGACCACATGCACAGACGCCTGAATCAATTGGTGAACGAATCACGCATTGAACTACACTCTCTGGAATCATTTTTGTTGCCACCACAACAACTTGCATACAATAGGATAGCATTTCACAAGTAGTTCATTAAACCTGTAGCATCCTATCATTGCAGCAGTTTGCGAAGGAATAGTGCATGTTCAGTGTGAATTCTTCCAAATGTTCAGTGAACGAATCACTCACTGACCCCAATTTAGCGAGCAGACTTGATAAATAGCATACCATAGGACAGTACACTTAAAACATCATGACTTATAAACAAGTTCATTATTACAAACCTGTCTGTCAAAGCAACACAGCCAAACACTCTCGTCTCCTGGTCCCAGAAGCTTTAATCTGAACCACTTCCTGAACTGTTCAACTGTGTATCAGTTAAGGAGGTCAGAGTCGCAGGGTTCTCCCGCTAAATGATTTGGTGAATGAATCTTTTGAACGAATCTGTTAAGTGAACTGATTCTAGTGATTCAGTACATCTAAAAGAACTGCCGTGCCCATCACTAACAGACTAATCCTGACTATCCTGGTTGGTCAATTTCTGCTGCCAACTCTGCATGCCTACGCATTTTCCTCTCATGAACTGCCTCCTCTGAGTCCTCCCAGGGTCCTGTCAATTCAAAGAAAGGAACCACACTGACTTATAAAGCACTTATGTTTTTGCAGATCACCTCGTCCTCTGCACCCCCCAGTCATTAGCACCCTTTAGGTGTCTTAACTCACGCCCACTTAGAGACCTGTCTCCTTTATATTTCTCTCACTCATGGACAAAATTTCTGTAACTCATCTAAAGGTCATTGAAAAACAAAGCGACACAAAGAAATACCATGTCCTTTCCTTTATTAAGCTGCAGGATGATCCATTAGGACAGGATTCAGAGTCTTCTTGTGTTTGCGTTTATAAAAAATATAAAAACATTGAGAATACCTATTAGAAAAAAAAAACTGTATTACAACCGATGAGCACTGAAGCTCCTTCGCTGCGACAAACATCAAACGCTGAAAATCTGAGGAACTGAGTCCTTCTGCTGTGAATTTAAAAATGAATATATCTGGTGTTCACACTCCCTCAGGTCTGTTATAAAAATGCAGGATTGTTCGATGATCCAAAATATGTCACAGCATGTATGTAAACAACAGCTGATTTCCATCAATCTCCAGTCTTCATCCAACACAAGCAGAAGGTGTGATTTAGTCTGTCATCGACCCTGTGAAGGAAGGGAGAGGACAACATTGGAAATGTTCTCTGTCAATTCATACAGTATGCATGTTTGTGTTTGTTTGTGTGTGTGTGTGTTTGTGTACCTGTTGTTTCTTCATAATCTCGTCTCTTGTCTTGAAGACCGGCGCATCCACCACCACAATGCCTTCAGCCATCTCCTTTACTTTCTCCAGGAGCTCTGTGCTGTACCTGCCAATATTGAAGACAGTATGAGAGTTTTAAAAAAATCACTGATCTAATCTAAAGAACAATACCTGAGTCAAGGACCTGTGCATCTAAGTACTATACACATATTGAACTGCTAGCACTACTGCATTTATTGCACTTTTTATACTGGTTTTAACTGGTTTTAATCTACTTGGCTGATCTGCAGAAGTGCACTTGTTGTTATCGTCATTGTCCTTGTTAGTGTACTGTGTATGAGTCTGTGAGTGGCGCGACCCCTGAATTTCCCAACTGGGATTAATTAAGTATTTATCTACCTACCTATCTACCTACCTCAACTCAACTTTATTTATAAAGCACTTTAAATCAACCACAGCTGAACAAAGTGCTGTACATAAATAGACAAAACAACGCAGACATAAAAAACAATCAAAAAACAATTAAAACGATGGATAAGATAAAAGCAGATATAAAAAGTAAAATATAGTTGCAATGTTTTAAAAGCTAATATAAAAACAACAGAAACAAATAACTAAAAACAAAACAAAACACTAAAACAGTCTCATGTAGGGTTGAAAGCCAATGAATAAAAATGGGTTTTAAGACGAGTTTTAAAAATGGACAGTGTGGGGGCTTGTCTGATTTGGAGGGGTAGCTCGTTCCATAATTTTGGGGCTGCAACAGAAAAAGATCTATCCCCTCTGAGCTTCAGTTTGGACCTCGGTACCTCCAGGAGCAGCTGATCAGCTGACCCGAGGCACCGAGCAGGGGTGTAGGGGTGGAGAAGCTGAGAGGTAAGATGGAGCCTGAGCATTTAAAGATTTCAAAACGAATAAAACAATGTTGAAATGAACTCTAAAATGCACGGGTAATCTGTAGAGGGAGGCCAAGATGTCTATCTATCTATCTATCTATCTATCTATCTATCTATCTATCTATCTAACAAACTGAAGCTAAATGAAAGAATCAAACATTCATTATACCTATGCGTGTCTACTCTTTTTTTTTAAATGTAATAGAGGATATTATTGAGATTGATTTATTCTACAATAAAATACAGCTTTGTTTTTATCTCCTTAAAAGCTCATTCAAAATGTTATTCCAATGCAGAGGGCTGATTTACTGAACTGTAAAGAGCTGTGATAAATTATGTCCTGACAAGTCAGATTTTAGTAATTCGTATAGGGACAAAACTGCGAAAACCTCAAACCTCTTCATCATGAGCAGATAAAGCTGGATTGTTGATGTTCGTATTCCGGACACAGGGGGCGGCAGTGAGCGCATTAACAGGTAAAAACAGGGACGAAGAAGAAGAATGTCCGCAGAAGTTCAGGTGAGTTTTATCAATGAAATCATGCAACATTGATGATGATATCTACGAGTTTTACTTCAAAATAAGCAACAAGATGTTACCAATAAACTTAATAATAGTTTAAACCAATTAGTACATGAGTTATCGGCGAGGTTTGTCACAAAAAGCGACGTTAAGACAGTTTCGGTGTATTCACCACCAAAGTATCCGGCTGGACGAATTTTAAACACTCCACAGAAAAAGTACCACGGATACTAGCGAAAGGAGGTGATATTTTGAGAATGAAATGGTGTTAAATGTAAGTTTTTAGTTAAATAAAGCAGTCAGCTCGTTTCTGTTGGTGAAATGACGGTGGCCTTCGTGGGACAAAAAGCTCTTGCGATTCATGTAAGGTATTATCCTGCATTTGCCAAGTTTGACCATCATAAACATAGTACTTTTTGTCTTTTTTAAACAAAACCAGGTCTCAATGGGACTAACCTGCTTAAATAAAGGCTAAATAAAAATGTGTGCTCGAATGTGGCGGTCATGTTGTTGTGTTTTCGTACCTGCAGCCGAGGAAGACGTTGTTGGCCCAGACCATGGACAAAGACAGGAGCGGGTCGAGCTGCTCAGCCTCATAGTCGCTGATGTTCCTCAGGATAAACTCCCTCCTGGCCTCCCAGTGTTTCTCACTCTCCCAGTAACCTCGGTGTGTTTCCACCTGATCTGCTATCGCTCTGTTCTGCTGGATAAAGTCCTCCACGTCCAGGGCAGACATCTTGCTCTTTACTGATGGAGGAGACGACAACAAATGCGACTTCCACTTCCAGCAAAGCGGGTCCTGGAGGCTGTTTTTCTGTTGTGCATGTTTTAAACAGCGGCATCCAGTGGCTGAGTGGAGAGCTGCAGAACACAAAACACCAGGTAACGTGTTTTTTTAATCAAATGAATTCATGACATTAAGATGTTTAGAATTACAGACACTTGATAGGGAGGCAACTTTAAAGTTAAATTTATCAGAGAAAAACTATCGAATGCCACAGTTACTTTAATATATTTTTATTAAGCAAACTTAAAACTACCAGTTTGTTAATTTACTCAAACAAAACTCAAAAGTACTTTATTTGTCTCACTGAAATAAAAAAATCGATGCAAAAAAACTACCTGCAATTGAACAGTGACAAATCAGACATCATCATCATCATCATTGGTCCCACATCCCACACCAGAATGGCCCAAAACTTCAGCCTCACCATCAACAATTGTACTCTGTCGTCCTCCCCTCACATCCACAACCTTGGAGACATTTTTGACAACCAACTCAAATTCGACCGCCATGTTCAACACATCACCAGGACCGCCTTCTTTCACCTCAAAAACGTTGCCCATCTCTGCCCCTCACTCACCTTCTTTGCTGTCGAAACCTTGAACCATGCTTTCATAACATCCAGAATAGATAACTGCAACAGCATCCAATACGGTTCATCATCGGTACATTCAGAACTCTGCTGCCCACCTGCTCACCCTCACCAACTCCTGAGAACACATCACCCCTGTCCTCCAAAAAATGCACTGGCTCCCCATCTCACATCATATACAATTGAAAATCCTCCTGCTCAACCACAAATCACTTAACAACCTGGGCAATCTCCTTGCCGTGCCCCCTCGGACCAAGCACTGAATTTGGGGGGACAGATCCTTCTCTACTGCCACCCACCACCCTCTGGAATTCACTCCCCAAACTTATCCGAGACCGTACAGACCCCCACACTTTCAAATCACTCCTAAAAGCACAATAAATTAGCTTTATTGTCTTTTGATATTGTGTCTTTTTTAACCTGTTACATTGTTAGTTTTATTTCTCAAAATTTTCTGTATTTTAAATTGGGTTTTTTTGAGCACCTGCAAAAACGTGTTATGAATAAAATGTATTATTATTATTATTATTATTATTATTTGAAATCTTCTTAAAGTACTGAGTATGCAGCCCTTATTTAACCCACAGGGTAGAAGTTAGGGACTATACATCCCCCAAATTACATGAAAGCACAATTTCACTTCCTTATATTTTAACTATCTCCAACAGTTGACTAAACCATGTGGTTTGGTCTCTTCACCTACATCTAGGATGAATTTTTTTGCAGCTTTCTTCATCAGTAGGAGCAGGAGACAGCACAGTGAAACATATCAGTTTAACAAAGGCTTTAATCCATTCACAGTAAGTGTCCCTGTAGGTCTAATTAGTTGCTGGTTTTACTGTAATGCAGCCATGTATATATATATATATTATTAAAGGTACAGTATGTGATAATAAGTGGCATTTAGCAGAACAGACGTGATACAGATAGGAAACAATTCTTGTGAGTTTTTTTAAATACATGTGTAATCACCAGACTATAATAATCTTCTTTTTGGTTACTTTGATTTAGCCTAATATATCTACACAAAGAGCAGAGACGGCTATTGTGAGATTGGCGGTTGTGGTGCCATCATTTCACCAACAGAGGGGGTGAGCAAGGGAACTGTGTGCTTTCATTCACTCAAAGCTTCCATGTCCACACTCTGTACCTTTAAATACAATCTCTGTAATGTTTTAAAAAAGGGCCTGTTTGAAGGTTTTAAATGTTGAAAGTGAAACAGTAGCACTATTCTTCCTGTAACTCTGCCCCTGAGCAACAATCACCAGCTGGACCCAGTATTCGTGTTACCACAGCTGTACACGTCTTTGTCTCCTGCTTCACTCTACAACTTGATGTTTTGAAGGTCTAATATTAACAGTACAAGGGTGTGGTTTCTCATGCCTTCTTCTTACATAAGTGACTTTTTCTCTCCCTCTGCTCCTAACCAGTCTGCCACGAACATGATCAGAGACTGATACTGGACTTATAACTTACAGCCTGTATAAAGAGGCTCATGGACATTTATCCAGGGTTACAGACACACACACAAACATACAGATATACCTCGCTTTCTTTTGTTTATTTGGACACAAAGATTCTCTTCTACTTTTCCTTCTTTTATCCGAGCACAGGCAAAGATAAACACACAGACACACACTCAGATACATGAACACGCACACACAGCAGTGTGAGGGATTTGGACTTGTTTTAACATGAAGTCATTTATATGCAGAGGGATTCCAGAGAAAGACAAGCCAAGATGAAGTCAGACAGACAGACCAGTTCACTGATCTCCTGCTGGTTTTGTTTCCACTGCAGGAAAATAAACTGACGGGATGGTCAGTTAATGTTGAATTATCACAGATGCAGTTTGAAGCCTTTGTTTGCAGCAGTCAAACTGCATCGCCTCTTGAGAAAATAAAAGCTCTCATGAGCAATCTTTTGTTTGCATTGATTTTGGCGCCCCCACTTTGAACTAAGTGGTACCAATAGACTGTATATAGAATGGACGCCATCTGCCTCCTCGCTGGAGAACAGCACCCTCTGGTGACAGGCTTCAGTATAAGTCATAAATCCCGCCTCCTCCAGCAATCCCTATGGAGCTGTGGACAAACTTTAGACATTAATTACACAGAATATACATTTTTCTCCCCCCTGTTTGCAATGTTGACATGTAGTTACTGTAAGACTGGTTTGTGCTCAAGTCCTCTTTTTTCTGTGAATTTCCATTTTTAAAAGTTATTAGGAGGTTCATGTTTTCTATAATTGACACCTGATACAGCCTATTGGCGTTCAGGGATTGCGTAGCTCACCCGGGGGATACGCTGTTTGAGCCGAGCGTCATCACAGCGACTCTCTGCGACTCTCCCACCGAAAGCGCACAACGTCACTGCACAATGTTGGTTTTCAGAGGTGGAGAAAAAACATGGAATTACCGAGAGCTTTTCGGCTTCAAATCTGTATACTGGCGGTAGGCAGAACCAAGGTGTCCATAGTATTTACAGTCTATGGTGGTACCTCTCATCTCCCTGCTGATTATGTCCTATCCAGAAAAGAAGCTGTTTATGGAGTGTGCTATTAATCACTGTCTGGCATCTACCTCATAGGAGCAGTTTCAAACAAGAAAAGTACCTATAAACAACAGTCAAACTCATTTATGGTGTAAAAGTGTCAAAACCTCTCAAATTCATATACAGGTTTAGTCCACCCTGTCAGGATGCACTTAGGCACTTCCTCTCTGTACAATATCCCCAACATGGGTGAGCAAGACCAGTCATTCCCTTAATAGGCAGTCATGAAGCATGTTTGCGTTACACAGCTAATTATTTAAGTGTTTGATGACTTTTCACCAGGTTTTAGTTTAGGGTGACACAGACACGACCAGAGCACCTTCATCTCTTGAGAACAGGTTTGATCGTTACATCCGGGCTAACACAAAACAAAACAAGGAACAATGCAGTTCAGCTGCTGTGTAAGTGATGCAAAAGTTCACTTCATGTTTGGTTTGAACACACCTTTATATGACTGATGCATGTTAGATTCAAATACTGTATAAACATACATGGATTAGCACACATTATCCTCCTCATAACTGTCACACCAAAGGTGTGCGGGCCGGATTATATATTCACTCCAGTCATCTGTTTTCTTTCTCAATGAGTCAAACCTGTACAGACAAGAAAATACACAAGTCAGGAGACACAAAAAACACACTCTCACTCCAGCTCAAGTTCCCCTTGAAAAACCACCAGTGCTCTCCTGAGTATGTTACATTCTGGGTGTCTTCCAAGTCATACAAGTCGCCTCTTTATTGAGTGAACTTACCCATTAAGTTTATGGACGGGCTCTGCCCCTCTCACAGCCTGAAATATACACTGATGCTGAAATAATACACTGCGTTCCAGCCGGCACTGGCAGACCGCCGTTCTTGATGAGTCATCTAATGTATGCTTACTCAGGAGAAAACTGTAATTGGGGAACACGCAGACAACAGGTAGTCCTTTCAGCTGAGTCCTGAAGGAGTGCCAAAGAGAGGGGATTAACACACTGTGTAAAGTATGTGTGAGTATCAAGGTTACTGCGAGGAGAATGCACCAAAGACCTCGGTGATAATCCATCTCAAACATGTTCAGGGCGGCAGCAGATAATGATATGTGTGTATCAGGATGTTGCAGAGTGTACTGAGTCAACTTTTAATAGGCCTTCTTAAAAAGCTGACTCAGACAGATCATTAACTTTGAGGAGACAATTACAATCGAAGTCAACTTTTATGTCCTACATGTGGTTACAAATGATGGACTGTATAAAACACGGAGAAAGTCTCGGTGACAGCGCCGGTTGGTTTCTAGCTAATCTAAAACTTAGCAGAGGTGGAGGTAAGATCGTAGCCTAGCTGTTTGACCCTAGAACCTGGATCCAGTTGCACTCGATCGTCTTTGCTGACTTACTGTAGATAAAGAAGTTTCCTGTGGCTGTTGGAGTTTTGCAATTGAGACACAGTATTCTCTTTTTTTTTGCTTATTCTTATTGTGTTTATGCAGAATTTCTGCAACATTCAGATGTATTGCATTGCATCATATCGTATCGATTGTATCACGTCCTATGATATTGTATCGTATAGTTTTGTGCTGCATTGAATCGGGTGGTTTTGCACAGTATCTTTTCACATCTTATCGTATTGTATTCTGTTGATTGCCTCCTGTATATCTTATACTGTATCCTGTAGTTCTTTGACTGCACCATACCAAATATGAAAGCACCACTTCATATCACATCAGAACTTATGGAGTACTGTTCTGCCATCTAAGTTTGGAAATGAGCTTCTTCTGAATTCATGGATTGTAAATCTCTTGACACTTTTTGTTCAATTAAGAGCCAAAATAAATCTGTTTCCTGTCATATCCAAATTCTACACAAG